CCTCCCAAATGGCTGTTCCGTGCTTACTGACCTGCACTCTGGCTTCAGTTACACCCAAGCAAGATGCCAATCGTTTCCTGAGGGTAAAAATGGAAGACATTCAGTATTTGGAATTATGGATATGTAAAATTAAATATGAGAAAGATATTTTATATGTGTTTCGAAATATTTTGTCTCATTCTCTACCTTCTCTGATATTCGCTTTGAGAATTTTGAGAGTTTTAGAACAAATTATTTTATTACCATTAGTAGATATGCAAACCAAAGTATATCTCTAATAAGCAATTTGAAAGCCACTAACACTGTCTAGTAAAATCCTCAAAACAGTGCTCCTAACACTAGGTTGTAGTCATACAGGAGACTTAAAACAACAACAGCAAAAACTAAACCCAACACAAAACAAGGCAAAAACTACAAAACAAATGTACATAGGGAAAGCCCAGGTGACATGTTTTGTCAGGATAGAAGGAAGCTCAAATAAAGATTAATGGAAGCATCCCAGAATTTTAAATATTCAAAATAATACACAAGGTACTCCAACCTGCTAATCATCAGAAAAAATGAAATATCACACTTATTTCTTTTCTTAATGTGTGTATGTGTCAATGGTGTATATGGGAGGCGAGAGGACAGCTTGCCGGAGTCCTCTTCTTCCATGTGTGTCTTCAGAATGGAATTCAGGATCTCAGGCTTGGTAGTGTCTTCACCTGATGAGCCATCTTGCCAATCAAGGTAAAGAAATATTAAAGTCATAGCAGGCCCAAGGTGAATGTTATAAAATCTCACAACACTAGCCACACAGTCCTGAATTCCAAGCACCATTGGAAACTGAGGTAGAAGACTCCTTGCAAGTACCTGGACAGCCTTGCTACAGAGTGAGGTCTTATATCAGAAAGTCAGAAGAGAAAGGCACTCCCACACTTCTCCACCCCTGATAGAAAAAAAAACAGCATGGTGGAATATAGCTTCACTCTCAACACAAATGGCCTAATGGATATGGTGCTAGCCTGGAACTCATCATAGAACTGAGATAACCTTGAACTTCTGATCTACCTGCCTCCAAATCCCAAGCAATGAGATTAAAAATCTGAACCACCCCACTCAGCTCGGGTTGTTTTTTATTTTCATTTTTAATATATATTACAAACCAAATATATACATTACACAATGATATATGATATTTAATGTTGATCATATAATATTCAATATGTAATATTTAATATGTCATACATTATATTTAATATATCATACAATATCCAATATATCATAAATGATATTTAACATATAACACAGCAATATCATATAATATTTAATATACAACATATATAGTAACACAATATATTATAATATAATGTTATAAATTATATAACATATATTTTGGTCTTTAATATATAATAAGCATGTAATATATAACACATAATACATAATATGTAATAATATACATATCAATATATTATATATCATATATTAATGTACTTAATGTACACTATATCACCATACATTATACTATATTATAAACATCATATTTATGTATTAATAAAATCAATATGTTAATATATTAATGTATTTTAATACATTAATATAACAATTATTACATCATGCTATATTATATCATTATATAAATTATATTATAATATATTGTATATTTATATATGTAGTATAATAATATATAAATATATTATAGGTTAATCTATAATATATTTATATAGTATGTTATATAACACATTAAATAATATGTCAAAGTATATTAACATATTAATACACATTAATATATCAATTAGATAATATAATATATTAATATATGTTATATTATATGTTATATGTAGTAAAAACCATACATAAGTGTGTATATGTTTATTTGTTTTTTCGAGACATGGCTTCTTTGTGTAAGAGCCCTAGCTGTCCTGGAACTAGCTCTGTAGACCAGGCTGGCCCTGAACTCACAGAGATCTACCTGCTTCTGCCTCCTGAGTGCTGGAATTAAAAGCATGCGCCACCACTGTCCAGCTCATTTTTTTTTAAATTGGTTTTATTGGGCTACACATTTTTGTCTGCTCCCCTCTCCTCCTCTCTTCTCCCCTTCTCCCCTCTCCAGTGACCCCCATGCTCCCAAGTCACTCAGGAGATCTAAAGATAACCTTCCACTCTGTAGCTGAGGCTGGCCCTGCAATCACCCTCGCATTCACCACTGTAGCAAAATGGCTCAGACAAATAGGTGCTTGCCTGCATGCCTGAGTTCAACACCGGGGACACACGTGATTGGAGAAGAGAAACAATTATTGAAAGTTGTCGTCTGTTCCCCATAGGTGCAATTTTGTGGATATGCACATGCAAGCACACACACACACACACACACACACACACACACACACACACACACACACACACACACTGAGGACTTAAATAAGAGAAATTAAAAAAAAATCACATTTAAAAATATAATAAAACGAGGACAAGAGTGGAACCTGGAGGCCCAACAAACAACAGAGCAAGCTAGGCAAGCTACTCACGCCTCCTCAGTGGTGAGGTACTGACTGCGCTGAAAGGCGCTCTCCAGCTCTTGGAGCTGAGCCAAGGTGAACCTGTGCTGGTAATGGACTCGGAATTCAGGCACCAGCACCCTCACGGGTTGAACACAGGACCACCGCTCGGCCAAGGACAGCACAGCCTGGTTGTCTCCCATGGCCCCACGATCTGGCTCCTGAGGCTGTGGCTCATTCTCCTGGCCATGGCCACCAACAGCGCCCTCTTGGTTCCCATCATCCACGGGGCCTGCTGCGCCAGCAGCTGAGGGGCCTTCTCCTGCTTCTGCTCCGGCTGCTTCTGCGGCTATGGCTGCAGCGGCTGCGGCTCCGCGCCCAGCCTGGCCCGGTCCACTGGCTTCCTCATTTCGTCCCTCTCCAGCCTGCAAGACCGTCGATGCCTCAGCCTCTGGAAGTGGGAAACAGAAAGGGCACCGAGGTGACAGGGCCTCGTGATGCGAAATCCCGTGAAGTCGAGCGCCAACAGGCGACGCCAGTACACGGGGCCTGCCCCGCCGCCTCTGTGGACGCTCCTCCCCCCATGGACAGCACCACCCCACCGTTCCTAGCACGCACTGACCATCCCAGTTGTCATCGTCGTCGTCAAGTCCCACGTAAAGCAGGTAATCGAAGTTTTGACGCTCCATGTCCTTCCAGAATGCCGGCGTTGCAGTGGCTTATGGCTTGCTGTCCGTCGTGCCTCTGACGTGTCGGAGCCGGAGCTCCCTGACGTTCCGGAAGTAAGGTCTCTCAGCCTCAAGGACTTGCTATATCTCTATAGCTTCTGAGTTGGAGCCCTCTACCGCTCTGGGAGTGAGGCTCCTCAACCCGCAGGGGTTTTCCTGGTTTCCGGGTCCCCCCCCCCCTCATAGTCCTTATTAGCATGTATCCAATCCTGGCCATGCCGTCCTGGCTTCCGGTTGGCCTGCAGTTGTTATGGTCTGCGATCCTCAGGGGCAAAACTGAGTGCAGCCTGAAGCTTGAGTGAGCTGCATGTGTTTGTGCGGGAACGGGTGGCACCTGGACAACGGAATAGAAGGGGCCTTCCGAGTTGCAACTTCATGAGTCCTTTCACCATGGTGACTATCTTCCTAGGGAACGGGTGGTGGTCAACCACAGGAACCGATTTGCAGGGGGCAAGAAAAGATCCACCAGAAGCCTTTAAGACCTTGTGGAGATGTGAGGACAATATCTCTTAGTCTTGACATTGGGTCCTTGCAACTTGGCAGAGAATGGGTACTAAGTAATGTGTTTATCTGGGAGGCTCTTCTTTGAACTTCCCCAGCAAGGTAGATCCTGCCTTGCTTCCGTGTTCTGACTTTGCAGGAGCTTGGGCAGGGTTGCAGGACCTGGGGCTGTTCAGCAGGCAGATCGGTGGGCTCATCTTCACCAGGGCTACTGAGGAGGAGCTTAGTAGTACCGTCCAGCCTTCATGAGCGCTGGCAAAGCGTGAGAATAGTCACACCTGTGCTGAGGTTCCTCACCTTTCTCTTGAACGCATTTTTAACGTCTTCTGTGAATGGTCAGAGTGTCAAGAGCAGGCCTTTGTGCCTGGTTTCCATCCCAGAGTCAAGCAGCCCCTTTCCTGGCAGGTGGTCAGACTGGTTCCAAGGCAGCCAGCTTTTCCAAGCATGTTCTGGTCACTCTTAAAATGGAAGGAGCCCTAAAGTACTAGTGTCTGTCCAGACACACTCTATTTGGTGCTGGGAATATTCTGGAGCCCTGGTGCTGAAATTCTTCCAGGATAAGACTTACCTCACAGTTCTGGTAACTACCTCACCGCTAAATCTGCATATGTTTGCTTCCTGCCCTTTGTTTTTACTGTATGACCTGAATCTCCTTTTGTTGAGGTCCCCAGGACCTGGGAAATATTTTTCTCTCTTCCTTCTGTGATTATAAAGACACTCATTTATGTGCTGGGGATGTAGCTCATTGTGCAGAGTCCTTGGCAAGAATTTCTAAAAGCTTGGATTTGAGCTCCCCAATTGCATAAAGTGACAGGCTGTCCCAGGCTGAACACTGACACAGGAAGATAATAGCTTCAAAGTCCTTCTTTGTCTCAGAGGGAGTTTTAATCCTGCCTTGGGCATTTGGTCTCAAGAAAGAGAGAAAGAGGGAGAGAGAGGCATAGAGAGAGAGATCCCTTTCTTATTTCATCTTATCAGTTCCGTCTGTCACTCCTCATTTTCCTGCCAAGCAGAGAGCAAAGGGCATGATTTGGTTTTTAAAATGTTAACCATGTTGGTTTCAGAAATTCTGTGAACATACAGCTTTGTCCCATAGCCTCCTTGGTAATGCAGGTGTTTCTATCCTGTCTCTCAAGTGGCCCTGCATTTCAGGCCCTTAGGACAGAACTCCACTGAGCTACAGCCCTGCTCTCCTGAGCTGCAGGTGCCCCTCTTGCATGTCCCCTTTTGCATGGCGGCTTCAGATTGCAGCAGGAGTTCAGAGGGATTGGGGAACCCTTCTGATCAGGACCCTGCTGAGGAATTCCAGCCTTGCATAGGAGAACATGGCCCCTTGTGTGTCTAGAGAAGTCACTGGGGGCTACAGCCTTTGGAACTCTTGAAACCCAGCTTCTGCTGTTCAGTGCCCCTCTATACCATGTGATATTGGAAGATCCCAGGCTGTCTCATGGGTACCACAGAGAGCTGAAAGGGTAGACACGATACTGACCAACACGGAGTGGTTCTTTTTTTCCCCTTTATTTTCTTTATTATTATTATTTATTTATTAAGGATTTCTGTCTCCTCCCCGCCACTGCCTCCCATTTCCCTCCCCCTCCCCCAACCAACACCCCCTCCCTCATCAGCCCAAAGAGCAATCAGGGTTCGCTGTTCTGTGGGGAGTCCAAGGACCTTCCACCTCCATCCAGGTCTAGTAAGTTGAGCATCCAAACTGCCTAGGCTCCCACAAAGCCAGTACGTGCAGTAGGATCAAAACCCAGTGCCATTGTTCTTGACTTCTCAGCAGTCCTCATTGTCTGCTATGTTCAGCAAGTCCGGTTTTATCCCATGCTTTTTCACACCCAGTCCAGCTGGCCTTGGTGAGTTCCTGATAGAACATCCCCATTGTCTCAGTATGTGGGTGCACCCCTCGCAGTCCTGAGTTCCTTGCTCGTCCTCTCTCTCCTTCTGCTCCTGTTTTGGACCTTGAGATTTCAGTCCGGTGCTCCAATGTGGGTCTCTGTCTCTGTCTCCTTTCATCGCCTGATGAAGGTTAATATCCAGGAGGATGACTATGTGTTTTTCTTTGGGTTCTCCTTCTTATTTAGCTTCTCTAGGATCACGAATTATAGGCTCAATGTCCTTTATTTATGGCTAGAAACCAATTATGAGTGAGTACATCCTGTGTTCCTCCTTTTGGGTCTGGCTTACCTCACTCAGGGTAGTGTTTTATATTTCTGTCCATTTGCATGCAAAATTCAAGAAGTCATTGTTTTTTTACTGCTGAGTAGAACTCTAATATGTATATATTCCATATTTTCTTCATCCATTCTTCCATTGAAGGGCATCTAGGTTGTTTCCAGGTTCTGGCTATTACAAACAATGCTGCTATGAACATAGTTGAGCATATACTTTTGTTGTATGATAGGGCATCTCTTGGGTATATTCCCAAGAGTGGTATTGCTGGGTCTAGGGGTAGGTTGATTCCGAATTTCCTGAGAAACCGCCACACTGCTTGCGGAGTGGGTCTTGAATCTTTAATGACATCTCCAGTTTTTTCATACATCTTGCTTTTATTTGTATTTAGTTCTAAAACATTTTCTTGATTCTTTGTGAATTTCACATCACACATCCTAATATGACTCATTCCCCTGTCTCCTCGCTCCTGCCCTCTGCCCTTGCAATCTCCCCTGCCAAAATAAAGTTTAAAAGTAAATCAAAACCCGAACCAAATCACAAAAAAAATCAAACACCCCTCAAACCTCGGTGCAGAAGCTGTGCTGTGTCACAGGTCACCCTTCAGTCCACACATATATGCCCTTTTCTTGAAAGTGCTCATTGCACGGAGTCATTGGTCTGGTCCGGGGCCTCTGGTTTCTGCTGCGCTGTGGGTACTGGGCCCTGACTAGGACCCTCTTGGATATCCTGTGTTGCTCCCCCCCACCCCCCGTGTTGTTTAGACCCTGCAGCTTTGGGTCTGTGCTGTCACGTGCTCTAGAGGCTCATAGATGAGGTGGGTGTGGGGTGGGCTACCTTGTTGTCCTGATTCTGGGTCTGGCTGGTAGCTGGTCTGGTTCAGCCTGCCAGCTTTCCCTCTCTGTCACCACCCAGGAGAGATCTCCATGTCTTGGCCTGTGGTCCTACCACAGCCTGAGTCTGTGCTGATGTCCGTGACCCGTGTTGCTACCAAACACCACACTGATGCCCAGGATCTGGGCTCCCACCCTGTGGCCTTCTTGGTGCCTGAGAGCTGTACCACTGCTGAACCCATACTGACCTGAGTGTCGTGTGCTGCAACCTAGGCCCAGGGTGTCATATGGGCCCGAGCTGCAGCAGGGACCAAGTCTGGGTCAGTGACCCTGCCACAGCCGGGGTCTGCACTGATGTCTGAGATTCCTGTGTGGATGCTCAGGATCTGGGCTGACACCTGGGCCATACAGGTGTTCACAGGCCATGCTGTTCAGAGGGACCTGCACTGCCACCTGGGGCCACTGTGACATCTGCGCCTGGGCCCCTGCCGAGGACCCTGTCTGAGCCCATGGTCCAACCACAGCAGGGACCTGTATTGCTATCCATGGCCCATATTGCCACTAAGGGCCACTCAGACGCATCAAGGGCCTGAGCACCACCAAGGGTCAGATCACTGTTGGGGGGTTGAGCCTCTGTTGGAGCCATGGAGATCTGAGGAGCCTGTGCTGCTACCAGGGCCATGGTTTCACTGGGGGCCTGGGCTGTCCCTAAGGCCCTTGTCTGGCTTGGAACTGGCTGGGTCTGTGATCCTGCTGCCTCTGTGGTCTGTGGTATGTCCCTGGCTCCTGTCACCACTGAAAGCAGTGAGGATTGGGCTGCACAGAGTTGGTCCTGCCCCTCACTGGCTGAAGCACTAGGGAGAACTGGCCCTGCCCCCACCCACTGCAGCTCTCAGAACAGGCTCTGCACCTTGCCAGGACAGCACAGCAGAGCTGGGGTGCAGGTGATTCAACCCTGAAGACATGCGAGTGGAGAGCTAGCCCATGGTCTATCCCATGGTAGCATGAGGAGGGAGAGATACCCCTTGCCCCAGGCACCTTACCTACTCCAGGCGGGAAAAGCTGGTCCCAGGGTCCAAGAGTGGGAGAGCTGATCCTGCCCCTCACAGACTGCAGCACTCAGGAAGGTAGGCCCTGCACTTTGTCCAGGCAGCACTGTAGAGCTGACCCCCATTGATGGGGGTACAGATGATCAGGCCATGGGAATGCTTGAGGGAGATCAGACCCCAGCCCTCATCTGGAATATGGTAGAGTGGGTGAGGGGGAGATGACCTCCCTCCCTCTCAAACCCTTTGCCACCTGAGGCAGGTGGCTGATCTGGCCCTGAGGAGGCACAGTTGGAGAATAGGCACTGCCCCCTATTGGCAGTGCTGGGAATCAAATCCGGGTCACCTGGCAGACCAGCAGTGTTCTTAAGGCCTTCTGATTTCACCTATTAAAAAAAATCATTTGCACCTTAAAAATAAGATGGGATTCCTTTATTTTAAAAATGTTTCAAGAGATACTAAAATCTTACATTTATATCATAGTTAACAAAAATATTCCTTTGTATTTTACAAGAAGAACGACAGGGACTGCTGATAGGGCGCATGACTAATCACGCTAGATTTTCTTTTTAAAAATATTATTGGGATTTTATTTTAAATCTCAAAATTACTTA